AGCAAGAATTGTATACACAGTTATGAACAGCACATTAACAAAATAAAAGAAAATTTATAGGGAAGAGTTTGAGTTAGCACCTTGCTTTCCAAAAGAGACTCAGTCAGCTTGAGCTTCTCGTCAACCCTTGACCACTCGTCCGTAAGCTAACATCACAGGAAACAGTTAACTTTATCAGCCTGTGTTCTTAGCACAAACCAATAGCTTTAAAATTAGCACAGGAAAATAAGTCATATGTACCCAACTCAAAGTGCCTAAGGGACAGATATGCAACACTACCACTAAGAATTATGTTGCCAAAAAAGGCAACATGAATGCAAAGACTAATCTAGACCTGCCCATCAACTATCAGTAGATTGCAGTTTTCAATAATTGATGTGGAAGTTTGTAGAGTTATTCTAATTTTGGAACAAGCTGCCTTCCTTAAATGTTGTTTAATGAATCCTCGAATGTGAGCCAAATGATACGAACAGCATTCTGTTGCTCGACTCTCCCGTACTAAAGCAGAAATTAAAAGAAAATTCAATTACATAACACCAATTCACATTCAAATGAAACTTTTTCCAAAACAGAAGAATTTAAACAAGAAAAGAATTGATTGATACTGAAGGCCCCAAAAACTGCAGTTTGAATCTTATAGTTTTACCATATATTTCTCTGTTACAAAACAATCAACAAAATTATGTCCTCTTGTCCTAGCTGTTTCATAACTCCTACATTTCTTTCCATACTCCGCGATGGAAGTCATTTTCCATTTCACACTCAATGCTTCTCCTAGTCAAACCCAGTCTTTTTCAACAGTTCCAAATGTGATTATACTTGACCTTTGAACTCAATTTTCTAGATGTCAAAATTGAAAATGATATCACCTTCTTACTTCGTCTTATCCTCAGTAACTCAAAATCATACTCTATTAACACTTAGCAGACGATAGACAAATTAAATCAATATATCAGAAAGCATAAAATAGATAATTTCATAGCATGCCATATAGTAAGAAGTTAGCAGAACCTCTTCAACAGCCTTTTCTCGTAAGCGCTCTGACAATCTCAATGACTTGATCTCCGCCTGAGCCTCAGACAATTCTCGGTCCTTATCTACAATGACATATTCACACACAGTATTAGCAGGGAAAACACAACAGAATTAGTCAAAAAAATCGCATTGGATCCAGCTATAAATACTGACCTCTAAGTTCATTCTCCAGTCGATTAAGCTCCAATTTCACCGGATCCGATCCGTGGAGAAGGTTTAAGAACTCATCGGCGTCAAGGCTTGGCCTCATGGACGTCCTTCTCCGGTAAGTCTTCCCTTCCTTGAACGAAGCTGATACCGTCAACGGCGTTGTATAACCTGCTGTGTCACTCGTCGGCTGTCGCACATTGTAGCTGTTATCGCCGGAAACCTCCGCCATCTCCGATCTATAAACTTCTACGGTAAGCTCACTTTCAATGAATAATTCATATTTACAACCAGTTGTACAGATGGAAATGATTATATAGATATTTATAAAGAGATAAATCTGTTGTTTAACTAATTTAAATTAGCATTTTGAAACAAAATTTTTTTCATTAAATATCAAAATTTGTAACTAATTAATTGTCTCTTGTATATCGGTCAAGCTCACATGGGACGCAGCTAGTAGGTACATGAAAAATCGTTAGTCTGTCACCATCCAAGAACCAAAATACATTTAAAACATAATGGGCTACGCAATAATTTTAAAATAAAATGTAAGATTATTTTTTCGTAAATTTGATTAGATATATTAGGTTTGTTATTGTGTTTTATAGGGAAGCTATTGCAGGTGATAATAATGTTTGTTGAGTATAGTCTTTATATTTTATTTAGATTTTCAATTTAAATAGTTCATTTTGAAATTTTAATTTGAAGCTCAAGATATATTAATGATTGATCTCAGCTTAGTTTAACGTTCCGCACCATTCAAGCTCATACAAAGGTTAATCATAAAGACATTTTTTAGACTTTTCGAGCTTCAAATTTCTGTAATTTTTTTGAGTTTAAAATGCTAAATCTAAGTCTTAACGTGTTCTCTGTATAATCTTTTCCATTTTAAACCTCATTAATCCACGTGGTGGAACATCATGCATTCAAACGATTATGCATTTAAACGATTTAAAATGATTAATGAAAAAGGGATGTTGGTGTTATTTGATGGGTTAAATTTTTTGAATAGATCGGATATTGGGTTAATGAATTTCAAGTAAGATTGGACACCTCTACTTGATTTGGAAATTTCAGCATTTGAAGGGCATATCTTTAAGTTTTCTAACGGTTGAATTGATCCAATAATATAACGAAGGATAAACTAATAACTGAAAATAGAGGGATGGTTTTAACCCTTCTTCCTTTATTATGATGCTTATATTATTTGTTGTTTAGTACTACGTCTCGAGAGTGATTCAAGAAACAAATAATTAATATTGTTAGTAAAACACACAAATAAAATATTTTTCTCTTGAAATACTAAAAATAGTAGGTAAAATTGAAAAGATATTTTTAATATAGTAAATAAGTAAAAGTGAATAGAAAAATATAAAACTAACACAATCATTATCGAAATTTCTAAATGTAAGAGTTTATCTATAGATCACTTACACTACTCAAAATATATACTATAAATTTAGATATTTATATATTAGACAAAGTAAATGTCATTCACTCTTTTGGACCACGTAATACAACTAAAAATGCTTACTCTTTTCATTCAAAACAAATATTAAATTTTAACTTGTTTATTGTGTATAAACGAAAACACAAAAAGAGAAAATACAATTAATCATGTGAAAAAGGATTGGGGAGGGGCTATGAAGAGGACGTAAAAGGGACCGGAAAAGAAAAATCTTTTGTTATTAATTCGTATCATATTAACTTGTTTTTAAAGGGCATGTCCACTTGTTATTCATGTCTATGCGTGTCACTTAAACTTCACATTACAATTTTAATCTGATCTATCTCACTTAAAAAAAAGAAATGAAAACAGGTGTCTTTTTTAAATTTTTTAATTTTAAAATATTTTAGACAAGAAAAATATATTTTTCTATTTAATCTGACACTTTATACATATATAAAATATATAATGTGTTCGATTAGTAGACTCATTACAAATAAAGAGACAATAAAATATAGAAAATTCATTTCATTTCATTGGGATTTTTTTTTTTTTTGGAATTAATAAGTTTGTTGTTTAGGCTAAACTTGTCATTTCTCTCTCTATTAATTTGCCATGCATAAAGTCTCAAAGACAAAAATAAAATTATTAATCTAATTTGGTGTGTGGTCATTTTCCTAATTATTAGCTTTCTCATAGGATAATTATGATCACATGATAAAAATCTAAAGCCTCTTTGCCCCACTCAAGTTGTACGGAATGGCCATTTAAAATCTATGTTCACTAGTTGAATTCGAAATAAATAATTTATTTTTTTAGATTTCTTAAAAATAATTTTAATTTATTTCATGACATATTAAAATTAGAAATGAGTGAATTAAAAATAAAGAATTATCATAAATAGAAAAAAAGTTACATTCAATTTTATTGCTTCTTTGATTTAAATCGAGGAATTTCTTAAATACAACGTAAGGAAAAAAAAATGCTACTAGTTAAGAAAAATTATACACTTCTAAAATGTGAGATTTTCTAGAAGAGAGATAAAATATAATTTCATTACATATTAATGTATTTCGGTTGAGAAAACAATAAAAATGTCCCTTATGTTTGAAATTAGTAGGCAAAAAGTGATACTTTAAATAATATTTTTTGAATTTTTTTAAAGTTTGTCATACATTAATATATATTACGGTATTTGATTAAATTTGTGAAAAATAATTCACAGGTGACCAAAACTCTCTAAATCAAACTTATATGAACGAAAGATTTACTCTTTAGGCGATTTTTAAGATAATTAATTGCCAAATTACATACTAATACTATTTTAAAAGATCTATTATTCCTACGAATAAGCATACGAGAAATAGAAAAAAGCAACACTCATAATTATAAATTACTGTACATAAATTTAATATGTGTAATTTTACTCCCAAACATTTGAACAATATACATGCATCAACCCTTTCAATTTTCGACAAAAATGATTATGTCAAAAAACAATGTACTGAAACTATTGTTATTAAAGTTAACATATTTAATTTTCGTTCAAATACTAATCAAACTTTATTTATTAGGTTTTATAAAACAATATACATGCATCAACCCTTTCAATTTTCGACAAAAATGATTATGTCAAAAAACAACGTACTGAAACTATTGTTATTAAAGTTAACACATTTAATTTTCGCTCAAATACTAATCAAACTTTATTTATTAGGTTTTATAAAAAATAATAATAACTCACGTTTAAAGATGTAATTATATAGTTTTTACTATTTTTAAATTATTTCTATACTTGGGTGTAATTTTTAAAAGTATAATTTGTATTATGAGAAACTTATATAAATATACTACAAATAAAAAATATGTACCATTTATAGCAATAACATTATTTTTTTCACATTATCACTTTTAATACATTCATAATACACTTTTTATTCATATTACAAAAAAATAATAAATTTATAATTCACATATAATATAAGTTTTTTTGATGAATAATGCATTTATCACACATTTTAATACACTTATAATACAATGTGTCAACTTCTTACCCAACAAGCATAATATATTTTTAAAAATAGTTATAATACATATATATCACATACTTAATTCACTTTTAATACATATTACATATTTAACATAATATTGCTATAAATAGTAATAAATAAAAAATATTACAAAAATCAGTAATTATTTATTAAAACGCATTCATTCGGCTAATTTTTCCTTTCTATTTTTATTTTGTATATGTTTTCATGTTTAGTATAATTTTTTTGTGTGTATTATGAGGTCTTCTTTACATTTATAATTAAATACATTTTTAATTTTTTTGGTCAAAATTAATAAATACAAATCATTAGGTACGGGACACAAGTAACCATTTTTTTCTTTATATGAATAAGTTTTTTCTTGAAGGCAGCTTTTACCAAGCAAAAAGTGAAAGAAAAAAACCGCGAAAGTTGAATTTTACGAATTCATAAAAGAAAACTGAAAACAAGAAGATGACGATCGATTGTTTAGTTTTGGGTAAGCATTTTTTACGTTATTTTATGATGATTTTGATATACTATATGTTATGCCTACCACATGTTTGATGAAATGCTGAAAAGAAACAATTTTGAGTTTACAGGTGCAGGACAAGAGGTAGGAAAAAGCTGTGTAGTGGTAACTATAAATGGCAAGAGGATAATGTTTGACTGTGGGATGCATATGGGACACAGCGATCATCAGAGATACCCGGATTTCTCTCTTATATCTGAGTCTGGTGACTTTGACAATGCTCTTTCATGCATCATCATCACACATTTGTATGTCAACTCTGCCACACCCCCTTATCATATGTTTTCAGTAAACCCCTTTACACCTTGTTGGATGATTGTTACATACTCCCTACGTCCCGACACCTTTTGACTTGATGACTTTGACAATGCTCTTTCATGCATCATCATCACACATCTGTATGTCAACTTTGTCACATCCCCTTATCATATGTTTTCAGTGAACCCCTTTACACCTTGTTGGATGGTTGTTACATACTCCCTACATCCCGACACCTTTTGACTTGACATGAAGTTTTAAGGGAAAAGAAAAGGACTTTTGAAATTTGCGTGGAAGGTAAGAAGAGGAATTTTAAAATTAAATTGTTAAGTGACATTCTTTTATGGAACAGACTAAAAAGTAGTGTGTGTCACATAAATTGGAGTAGAGGGATTATCACTCATTAGGTATATTGATCAATATAATGGTTGGATAAATTGTATCGTTTTACATTTTGATGTAATGCTATATATAAGCAGTATGAAGGATAAATTTACAATATTTAAAGTAGGTTACAGGGTAATTATTATAAGAAAAGGTAGAGTTAAGGATACACACCTACCTTGTCGTTACATAAAATAAGACTTTTCATCCTTACACAAGGATAGATTTAACCATACGAACAAAATTTAAGTAGCTTCAGTACAAATATTGTATTTAGATGTTACAATAGAATAGGTAACAAGATATGCCCTAGTGTGGTGAGTCACATCCCCTATTTATGTGATGGCTTTGTAATCTCTTACTTTTTGGTCTTGTTTAGTGATATTCAATGCACTTCTTTAGTGATCGAGGGAAAGTTTTCCCCTGCTTGACGAATTGCATCCCCTATTACATGCATATGTCACAGTAAAAGTTGCTCTTTGTTTAATTTAATTAAACCAATGACCCCCTTTAGAGACGGGGGAGAGATTTGCCCCAACTAATTGAATCACATCCCCTGTTAAATGTATATGCTATTTTAATTTTTTTTATCCGTATGGATCTAATCTAATGAACTTTGGTTGCAGCCACCTAGACCATATCGGAGCTCTTCCATATTTTACTGAAGTTTGTGGATACAATGGCCCCATATACATGACGGTATGGAGTTACGCTGTTATCCAGGAAAAGTATAACTCATGATCTTGGAAATTGTTCCGACTAAAAAATCTATCTTACATTATGTAATAAACCTAATTACCTAATATTAGAGATACACTTGTTATCAAAATGCTATTATAAATTAATAAATATTGAATGAGATTATAAAAAAAAAAGTCACGAGTTGCTGTTTACATTAATTAGACAATATGAAAATAAAACGTGAAGCAAATCAGCGCAAAAAGAGTTCTGTTTTGGACATATATCCAGATACTTCCTTTAAAATACTAAAGCACTAGAGTAGATCAAGAGATTAGGGAGATGCCTTTAACAAATTAACAAATATATGACATAATCGGGAGTTGTTTGCCTACAGACAAACCAGATATGTTGGGAGATTTTTAAAAAATCTCAATTTTGTTTTATGTTTCGGCCAATATTTTGAATTTCTCTTTTATTCACATGTGGTATGTAATTATCAGCCCATGTAATATATGCTTTTAGTATCCAAATTCTTTCTTTGCTAGAAATATTATGAACGAGCAAGAATATGTACTTGGATTTTCAAGCTAGTTTCGCGTGTACTTGGATTTTCAAGTTAGTTTTGCCTTAGTTTATGGTCTACTCTGTGATCAACTTTAATAACTCGTCCTCCAGTATCCAACAAAAGCTTTAGCTCCATTGATGCTGGAAGATTATCGCAGAGTGTTGGTTGATAGAAGGGGAGAGAAAGAGCAATTTAGTTCTGAGAATATCGCAGATTGCATGAAAAAAGGTATCCTTTCTCCTACTAGTCACTTCCGTGACCTATTTATAGTATGATTAGTAATTGGTGGCAAATAGTTAGAATTTTTTACAGTTTGCAGTATATGTTCATATTGCTTCCGTTAAAGTTATCAATTAGGCAAGTTAACTTCTCAGTAGTTATACCAACTTTATTTGGGTCAAAACAAAGGTAAGTTAGACTGAGCATATTTATGATATCCGTTGAGAAAGTACACTTCAATTAATTTAATTATATCCTCGACATGCCCCCTTATGTGCACTGCTCATTCTTTTTTCATCGCTAAGCACGTAGATTTTTTTTTGATAATGGGTGGCGTTGAGATTCGATCCCAAGACCTCTTTCTAATCTGATACCATATTGAAGTCAGTGTTGTCAAACCATATTGAAGATTTGAGGTGTGTGACCATATCATCTAAAAGCTTAAGCTTAAAACTGTTAGAGAGCACACCTTTATTTACTTAATTATTTCCTCAACAATCTCTCATGTTGAAATAAGATAGTAATATATATTGTGTATCACTGCCATAACCACTTGCAACTCTAATATCCTATTAGTTCTCCAAAAAGAGAAAACCATGTGCAAAGCGGGAGCCATTTGTAATTGTTGCATATATATTGGTGATAAAAGCTAACTGACAATAATTGGGATTTTCCACTCACATGGTTGCATGAGTACATTGCCTGACTAATGGACAGACCCTTTCTGTTTATTTTGGTTAAATCTTCTGTCTCAGTTGAGCTGCAAGTCTGACAAATGCACACCCTTTTCTGTCCCCCCCCCCTCCCCCCCCCCCCCAAATTAAATCGGCTGCTGCAGGCTCTTGACAGTTGACACCATTAGTGTGGTTCAATGGTCTAATATTTGCCTTCTCTGACTCATAGGTTAACTGACGAGCTTCTATTGTGGTTTCACTAGTTATAAGTCTAGTATGATAACTATGTTAAATGTGTTACTGCTGACATCAATGGATCATATAGCAGTAACAGTGGCTTGTTCTGCTGCCTCCAGAAGCCCACTGTCGAGACCATTCAATACTATTGAGCTTATTACATGTCTACCTACAACTCAGAATTCACACATTGAGCCATTTAGACACACCCCGATCATAGGGATCCGTTATAGATCTTGCCAATGCCTCATGCTAAAGTTATACTGTGGAAACAAAACAAAGGCAGACCAGACGGTTCTTGTTGAAGTACAGGTGTTTTATGAAATCGCCAAATTAAAGCTAGACTTCTAAAAGTTTGGCAAGAGAAGCTAGATTCCAAGAGATTGCTGATTGAACTCCTAGATTGAGCAATATTAATTTAATGCACATGCAAGATTGGATTGATGAGTGAAGTGAATTCTATCGATCTAACAAAATGCAGCTATTATATAAGTTAGCACACATGCTGAGCTCTAATGATATTTTCTGCATCTTTTCTCTTATTCATCTCCAAATTGATGTGTTATTTAACTTTTGCAATCGGTTTGCAGTTACTGCAGTGGACTTGAAGCAGACTATGCTGGTTGATCGAGACCTTCAAATTCGAGCATACTATGCTGGACATGTATGGTTTAAACTATTCATTTGCACAAACACTCCAATAACTTTTCACGTGCATTCATCGGTATCAAGCAGATTAACCTGTAGGTTTTCTTTTCACTCTTACGGGAAAAAGGGAACATCAATTAATGATGACAAAAGCCACATCAACTTAATTAATGACTTATTTTAGGCAGTTTTTTAAAAGGTGGGGGCACGAGGCGAGACATTTTATGTAGCATGGATGAGGTGTAAGTCCCGAAATATGGGGGCAATTCCCATGGATCTACGGTGCATATCTCATGTATCTTTAATTTTATAATTTTATTACTATGAAAATAAGAAAATGTAAAAATTTCAATAACTCTGCCAAGAAATTCAATAAATCACTGCTTATATAGAAAAAAATATTATACTTATTATTTTATAAAGGTATCAACACAAAAATGATAATATTCGAGATCTTTAAAATAAAATCATCATCCATTTCATCATTGATCTCTACTTCTTTTCTACTAGTACTTCCATTCTCAACTAATATTTGCACCGGTTAAAAGTGTAAGAGCAATGACAAAAAATGGATAAAGTTGCGTCAAGAACATAGTGTTACGGAATCTCTATCCTATCAATTTCAGGCATGACTGTCTAGAATATTATTTTTGGCAGTGTCATTTTCTATGAGAGGAAGAGAGACTATTTTTGGAAATAGCCTCACTACCTCCATGAGGTAGCGGTAAGGTTTGCCTACATTCTATCCTTCCTAGACCCCACTTGTGGGATTTCACTGGGTGTTTTGTTGTTTGAAAAAATCTCTACAACATGAAAACATGATAACATTAAGTATAAAAATCACTACCCCAATAAAAATATGATTAATACTTTTAAGATACTAAAAAACAAATTTATCGCCCAGGAATTACACTTTTATGCTCGGGGCTTATGCCCCAGTCTAGGCTGCCCTTCCTATGAATCTAGACTTTTCATTTGCACTCCGGAACGTTTTTGTTACGCCCCGCCCCGAGGTTAGCCCCGAATTTGCCTTTGGAACACTGATTTAGGTGCTTTTAAGCAGTATTGTAGGTTTTGGGTTAAAATAGTGATTAAAGCTCTTGTTTTTAAGCTAAAATAACAAAAATAAGCCAAAAGTTATGGGTAAAGATTTCTAACTTATAAGTTATAACTTTTTACTTACAAGTCATAAGTTATAAGCCCATACAAAAGGACTCAATGTTAGAAAAGGATTATGAATTGGAGGGCATCTTTTCAAATTTTAAAGGAACGGAAAATGAAGATTAAGAGAGTCATATCTATCGCAACTGATTCTTCTCCTTTAGGTTGATCCGATCTGAAAGTGTTCTCAAGTTTAAACTGGCTATTTTCATGGCACGTATTTCTTGTTTCATCTTCTTAGAATTGATTATTCCCTTTCCAACTGACCTACATTTCTGAAGCATATGCAGATTGTTGATTGACTCTTCTAACCTCCTCTTCTATCACGCACATACGCGATCTTGTGTTAGTGCTTCTGGATACAGCTAATTTACTCGATGGCTGTGTGAAGCGCACTAGATTTTCTGTGTTCTTTCTTTAATTTGGAAGTTACAAGCAGCTATATATACTCCATGTCAATAAGCAGAGCTGTGTATGTTTGTCTTTTTCTTTCCTGGCTCAGTTTCTCCAACTTGAGTGAGAACAATTTTTTGTTACATTTGGAAGTTCCTCCATAAAAGCAGCAACACAGCAGTATCACAAAACAAAAAGAAAATAACAGCCGTGAAAATCCAATGTCTTAAACAATGAAAATAGGAGAAAGAAAAAAAAACAGCTAATTCATAATATGTCTACCACCAATGATAAAAAAATGCTACTTATGAAAGTGATATTGCGAAATATACTACCAGCAGAACCCATCCTTCAGGGTGGCCCAGTGTTTGGACTTGGGACTTCCATGTTGGAGGTCTCAAGTTTGAAACCCCTTGTTAACGAAAGCAAGAGGTTTGCCTGCTGGTCGAGCTCGTGGCATCAGACTTGCCTAGTTTGGGTCATCTCTCCTATGTGGTTTGCGAGCTATTGTATAGGAGCGGGGGTTTTACCCTGTCCGCTCCCTAAGGGTAGTGGCTGCAGGTTTTCATGTAATAAAAAAAAATACTAGCAGAAACCAATTGATCGATCAGGAAGTTTTGACACCACACTACTTGTGTATATACTCATATATATATATATATATATAGGATTTCCCCACTACATTGGCATACTGACTTGCGGAAAAATAAAAGCACTAAAGATAACCTGATTGCTAGTGCTAGCTGCAAGTTCATTCTTGGAGACAAAGTCATGCAATGCAAATTATAGATCTGAGCTTAACATAGATGCACATATTGTCCTTCTCTATATTGCTGTGTCTACCTTCCTTTATTTCCCTGTAATATGGCACATGTCATGGGTGATCTCATGTGGAAGCCATTTGAACCACCAGCAAATGTGGAAGAAAAACATGGAGTAAATTAAAATTCTGGACTGATGAAATGGAAAAGAAATTTGTGTTTATCCCTATTAGTTCATGATGTTCGGAACGAGCTGTCTTGTCAAATATTTTAGATATCTTTGATTGAAATCTTCTTATACATTCCTTCTTGTGAATTTTCACTCAACTCCCTTCTATTATTATACACAAAAAAAAATATAGCCAGAATTTTTTCATCCAGCTGTAAATCATGCATGAAAGGTCAATCAATATAGTGTTGTGAATATCAAAACTCTATGTCTAGGTTCTTGGTGCTGCAATGTTTTATGCTAAAGTGGGCGATGCTGCTATGGTATACACTGGAGATTATAATATGACGGCTGATAGACATCTTGGAGCTGCTCAAATTGACCGGCTGCAGCTGGACCTTGTCATAACAGAGTAAGTAGTGGATACTGGATACCATCTAAAAAATCACCTGCATATACATCATGGTTGTACCTGCCGAAAGAATATTATGGTAAACAATCTTGGTCAAATATTTAGTCTAAATCAATATTGATGATCATTTTTCCAGTTCCTTTTTTATTTCACGATTTTATGTATTTCAAGTGGATTGATGACTTTTGAGTCCCACATCAGTTGCGGGAATGGAAATTCGACTCCTTATATAGTTGGCGACAATCCTCACCCCTTGATCTAGCTTTTGGGGTTAAGTTAGCTTCAATCCATTCCTTTATTATGCTATAGAGCCATATCCTTCCCAAATCATTGTTTACCCGACATTAGGCCCCATCTTATATTGTCAACTCTTTGTGTGCAAGGGGTGTTGAGTACACATTGGTTGTGAGACCGGGGATTGGACTCCTTGTATGGACTTGACAATCCTCACCTTTTGAGCTAGCTTTTGAAATTGAGTTAGGCCTAAAACCCATTTCTTTCCTGATTTCGATGCTCTTTTGGCTAGGCTTTGCTCAAAAAATAGTTTGCACTTGAGAAAAAATATGATTCAAGATTTGATGAAATATTGAGAATTAGTATGTAGTTTTTGTGTATGGCTGTAAACTAACAATTTTAGACGACTAGCACCAAAATCATATGTTAGTTCTTGCCAAAATTTATGTCTCCTGCTAATTGGTTTGACTGGAACTTTGCAGTGTTTAATGGTATGAACTTGATGTAACATCCTCCTTTTCCATGTCTTGTCCATGTTGGTGGTATCATATTAGTGTTCTTTCCTTCTTCTAGCCTCTTCAACAAGTTACAATAATCACTTTTGATTCAAAATTTGGAGATATCCTGATAAATAAATTTAATGGCATTATCCTGGCTTGAAAAATGATATTTTTTGCTGCCAAGATCTCTACTCATAATTTTGTTCTTACAGGTCAACTTATGCTACCACCATCCGCGATTCCAAATATGTTCGGGAGAGGGAGTTTCTTGAAGCAGTATGATACTTTTGGCTACTAGAAAGAGTGCTTTTTTTTTCGCTATCCTGCATATGTTTTTCTTATGATTTCTGCTTATAGCACATTGCTGTGACAGAATATGCTTGTGAATGCTTGTAAGGGTCTTGTCTGAATATCCTTGTCCTGGGTGCTATGTTTTATCTCCCGATGTCAATGACTAATGTTGATTGGTATAAGGCCCCTAGTCTAGTTCTGAAGCTTTGACTCTTCTAACAAAGTCAAAAGCGTGGTGTGCTCATAGACTCACAGTGATTTAAAAGTTGTGAATACAATCTGAGTGCTGTACTCCATACCTAAAACGATATTTTGCTTGTGAATCGACAAATCATAGTTATTGTCCAAGTGTCTCTTAAAAGGTGGTAGGGAAAGAGGCTGCATTGCATTTTCTTTTAGCTGTACCCCTTGATTGATGATTGATTTCTAACACTGAACAAATCTGTACCGAAGGGAATTTGTGTTTTGTTTAAGACTTGCAAATTAAAAGATGTATGCATGTGCACTTTGTTTTCTTTGTTTACTGCACTTCATCAATTACGGCAATTCGGCATAATCTCTTTCAGTTGTATATTTTTTCTGCTCACCTTGCTCTCTTTCGTAATTGGAGAGTTTTTGTCTAAAACATTGTATTTATTGCCATTCTCTATTATTAAGAGTCCTTTATTTCTAAAATATTTGTGATTCTTTTCTTGATATTATCCATTCAATTTGCTTTATTGTATTATTGAATTCGTTTTTATTTACTCTTGCTTTAATACCAAAAATTGATAATTTTTTAGATTCACAAATGTGTTGATAGCGGAGGAAAGGTGCTCATCCCTGCATTTGCTCTTGGAAGAGCTCAGGTTTTTATTCTTTATTTTGGCTACTTTATAAATCAAGTCTATTTTTTTTTTCCTTTTTTCTTTTTGATAACTGTGGTGTCTGGGCTAGCTTGTGCGTATCTCAACTAATTCTACTGGATACTTATCAATAGGGGTGGGTGTTCGGTTCTTCAGTTCAATTTTATCAAACTTTGATTCGGTTGTTTGGTTATGGAAACATGTGCAACAAACACCGAACCAATTTAGTTCAGTTTTTCAAAGTTTGTTCAATTTGGTCTTCTGAAACGTTTTCTCGACGCAAATGAGAAACAAAATAAGGACCAAACCAGAATAAATCTAACGTTAATACTATAATTATACCAATATATGGTACTAAATTACTAATTAGACCAAAATTATATTGGAATTATACCATATGTAATACTAACTATACCACTATTATACTAGAATTATACGATGTATAATACTAGATTATCCACTATTATATTAGAATTATACCACATATAGTACTAATTGTACCACTATTATGTTGATATTATAACATATATAATACTAATTATACCACCATTATATTTTAAATTATACCATATATACTACTTGCAGTTAATTGCCAATAAATGTTAATTAGTCAATTATGATAAGATTCTATAATAATTAGTGATTTAGTATTGCACAATTGTATTTTCTTTTTACATAATAGAGAAAATTAAAATTTGAGTTGTGAAACAAATTAACACATGAAAGTTGGCATATATGGATAACCGATTCTTTTAATGAATAATTATGGAAAAATAGGAAACATTTCATTGGAATTGACGAGCGAGATTCTGTCTGGAAATTAGATAACTTGTTCTTTGGTTTTTGCTAATTTTAAAATATTTTAATAAAGCTTTTATTAATAAAAGTTTCGTTCTTCGGTACACCGAAGAATCACGACCCTTAAATGGAACACCGAATCAAAGGACCAAACCTTTGAAAAAAAGAAGAAGCCGAAACCAAAGAGCCAAATTAGTTAGGTCTGGTCTATCGGTATTTATGCCCACCTCTACCTATCACTCACCAACAACATGTACCCAGTAACTTTGTCTATCGAGGCTAGAACATACGTGTAGAAGTCACACCTAGTCTTTCGTTTCTACTATAATTTGAACTTGAGACTTCATGTGCTCAATCCACTTCATTGACCACTAGGTCTCACCTTGGGGTGCTAACTCTAGCTTTTTAAATGCCTAGATTTAGGACATACTTTAGCTTTAGGTCTTGTATAATGACAAATAATTCAAGGGAGGGTGGGGACAAGTGAACATAACATTACTGAAGAGTTAAATGTTAATCAATGGTCCTAAACTTCTAATCAGTATTTCCGTTTCCAGACATTCCATGAAGAATGTGGTCAACTAGTCCAAACTCTAGTAAGTTATGCATGTAACTCTCTGAGCTGGCTGTCAATTTGGTTTCAAATATTTGATTATGAGAAACTAAGACATCAATGCTACCAGAGCTTCCGTCAGGCTTGTATTTATTTGGAAGTCCAACTCTCTTCAACGAGAGCACCCACATCTGATAGTGCCTATGTACAAGTCGTGGTTTACATATTTCAATCAATCAACTTGTACCTCGATTCCAAACTTGTGGTCAGTGAGTATGAATCTCTATATCTATTTCACTCTATCTGCACTAGTTTCACTCTAATATTAAATAAATAAGGAAAATTATGAGTTTTCTAAGTCTAGAGGTTCTCTATATCTCACACTTATCACTGCTTATGATCTATACATGTGTGGTATAAGTTGCCGAATTATATAACTGATAAACATGGGCTTTCCTCAATCTTATTTTTGATGTTTTTCTTTATGTTCGTGCTGCTTCTTACGATTTTCTTTTCTTCTGTACTGTAAGATATTATAACACAAATATTTGTTTTATTGGTGAACTATACTTCTCCAAACAGGAACTCTGTATGTTATTGGATGACTATTGGGAGCGGATGAATCTTAAAGTTCCTATTTATTTTTCCGCAGGTTCTTCTCCCTTGATTTCCTTGCATGATATCTTTGGTCATTGCAGTTATGTGATATTTCTTTGTTGAGATCTTGATCCTTCCTTGATCAGATCAGAAGAATTAGAATCAGAACTAGAATTCTGCAAGTGCACACATATCTCTGTAACTTTATGTGTGATTTATTAAGTGTTGTTGGAGCTATCAAGCTGTCTGCACTATAACATGCCAAGCAATTTTATGTTATATTTAAAAACTAAAAGAATAAGCCTTCCCGTGTATGTGAAAAATAGTTATTACTTGGTAGAAGGTATACCTTTTAGGATAATCTACTTAGATTTACTGGAGATACCTAAGATAGTGTTGCATACCTTTGTTACCATCTCTAATTACCAGATATTTCCCTGCGAAAAAGTTAGTGTATGTCAGTAATAATAATACAGCTTCTAGCCACCAGGTTTCTAACTTGAAATAAGATTTTTACATTCCCAGTTTCACAAGTCAACAAAATGGGGTTATGATCAGATATCAACTTTGGTAGAATGGTTTGTTTGATTTGAGAGAAGCTCTCCCGCCATTCTGCATGTAAGAACCTAGCTTTTCTGGAGGCACAATCAAAATCCTCACCCCTTCTCCAAGTGAAGGATCCTCCAAATGAAAGGAGGATCCACCAATTCTAATTCCTGTATGCAATTGGAAAATTCAGCATGGCCCCACTTAACCTGCAGCAGTTTGTTCCCTCCGAGGGGTATCTAGTGTCATTAAAGTCACCACATACTATCCATGGCCCAAGACAAGTGCTCCTCACATTGATCAACTCTTGCCAGAGTATCCTCCTTGTCACTCTATTGCAGTCAGCACACACACCAGTTAAATGCCAGCTCTAGTTATCATTTAAACTGGTGAACTTGCCTGTTATGCATTGGTTGCCATCCACCACTGTCTTCCCATTCCAGATTCTTTTATCCCAAAGAATTAGGATTCCCCCACTGCTCCCCTGAGCCTCCTTTTGGATTTTCCCCATCCATCTATTGTGCCAGATTCTCTGAATAACATTGTCTATCTGACCACCAAGTTTTGTTTCTACCAACACAAAGGCATCAGCCCCTCACTGTTGAAGAAGCTTTCTCACTAACTACCTCTTACTTCTCCCATATAACCCCCTAACATTCCAGGACATTAAAACTTCAATAGTTTAGTCTTGAATAAATATTTTACGTATTTCTTACACTAGGTTGTCATTAGTTCTCTTAATTAATCTTTTCGTGGTACATAATTCTGCAAACATTTTGGATTTACGTAATGTTTTTTTGGTAGTTTGATGCCCTATCCTTAATCCTGAACTACTAATCTTTCAGGTTTGACCATACAAGCTAATATGTACTATAAAGTTCTCATAAACTGGGCCAGCCAAAAGGTGAAAAATCTTTCCGCAACACGCAATGCATTTGACTTCAAAAATGGTGCTTCCTCTATCACTCATTGCAAGCTTTAGTAAATTGTAGATTACTAAAACAGTAACAGGGATCACCAAACTTTCTTGTTCCACGATATTCCTCTCTGTATTCTTTAGTGGTTCAAGTGAAAGTTAAGATTGATCTGAAAAAGTGAATGATTAAGATCATACATAATGATATGGTCATATTACATTATCTGATGCTTGTACTTTGTAGTCCACAGTTTTGAACGTTCCATGATAAATGCTCCTGGACCTTGTGTTTTGTTTGCTACTCCCGGCATGTTAAGTGGTGGATTTTCACTTGAAGTTTTCAAGCAATGGGCTCCGTGCGAACAGAACCTGATAGTTCTACCAGGGTACCACCTTTAATTCACTTTTATTTAATATCTTGTCGTGAGACAAAAAGACTGCATTTACAAATGTTAATGATACATCCTTGCCTTTGTCTTTTAATAAAAGAGGTCTGGGTTCAGGGACGGATTTATAGCCCAATTTGTGAACCCATGGTCTCTCGGGCAAGCTAATATTATATGTACATATTCTTTTAGAATAGATCTAATATTATGTGCTGGGTCCCATGCTCCAAAGAAGTCAAATGGTGCACTTCATTGAACACTTGGTTATTTACCCAGAGGAACAAGGATCAATTCCCCCCCTAATACTTCCTTTTTTCCTCCTTTCTTTTGTGGTGTGCCCACGTGGTGCACCCATGTTATACAAATTCTGGATCCACCTTTGCCTGGATTGAGTAAGCTGCTTCAAAATATTTGTCAAATATTTGCTTTCTCTTTTGCTTCTTTAATCCGAAACTCTTGCAGAAAAACTTATAGTTTATCTTTACACATTGTCAGCATTACCAAAATGCTATTGAGAGCGTAAAATCATGAGAACTGACTTCCATCAATTTTGCGAGGTGCAACAAAATTTTCTTTGGATCTAATGTCTCAATATACATTCTTTCTTGGTCGAGATGATCGATACTGCTCTTAGCATCAACTGATGATTGTCAAGAGTTGTTTCATTTCGTAAGTGAATATATTCAGTCATTCTTTCCTGCATCGCTGGACCTAAGCACTTGGTGGTATCTTTACTACCAGGAGAAAGTGGGAAGTCAGATTAGAAAACGAAGCTCAGGGTTTGACTTTTTGCAATTCCCTTGGGAATGAGAAAATTGAAACTCATAAATAGGGATGTAAATATTTCATTCGTAATGCTCATTTCTTGTTTATGTGTTTTTATCTTTCGGTGTTACCCGTCTCATGTTCCTTTGCTTCTTCCCTATTTACTTTTACATATAGGAGCTTTAAGGTCAGCTAGATTCCATTTTAAATACTTCCTACTCTGATTGTGTTCTTTACCCTTTAAAACTCAGTTGAGCACATCATAAAGAACAGTGGTATGCTATCTTCATCAATTAATTTTCGGCTATTGCCTCAGAGAAAGAACTTAAAACTGTCATTTCTCTATGTATACGTTTAGTCATACGGATTATTGGTCTTTATCATCATTAGGACTATCTGGCTTCCTATTCCGCCTTCTCTGTCACCATTTTACCTACACTTATGTTCTTACTATCCTTCAAATCCTATTTTTCAGATATTGTTTGGCTGAGACAGTAGGGCACAAGTTGATGAGAGCTAAACCTCCTGCCAGAATAGATGTTGATAAAAGCACCCAGATTGATGTGCGCTGCCAGGTATTTCTATTCTTGTATCCTCTTAAATTTGTTTAATTCTATCACATACTAGCTCTTTTGTACCTCTATCTAATCATACGCTCCACTACAATGATGATATTTTTACTCGAATGACTCTTCAAACAACTGTTGAACTGTCTCGTAATGATCATGTTAAGAGTTAAATGTGAGGGTTCCTGTCATTTTTCTTTCTGTACAATACTGTCTTTGTTTCTCTGTTTTAGATTTTTCTACTTTTGATATCATAACTTGAAATTATGGATGATATTTAGAAACATTTTCAGTTTCTAATTTCTTTTGGTTATTTAGCTTTGATCTTTTTAACTATATAAGTTTATCTGTTTCTTGGATTTTTGCCAGATTCATCAGCTGTCTTTTAGTCCACATACTGATTCCAAGGGAATCATGGATCTGATCAGATTTCTGTCACCCAAAAATGTAATACTTGTACATGGGGAAAAGCCCAAGATGGCATCGCTCAAAGAGAGAATTGAATCAGATCTTAGGATCCCATGCTACTATCCTGCAAATAACGAGTCTCAGCGCATTGAAACAACTCATTATATTAAAGCTGAGGCATCCAAATCATTTCTCCAAAGTTCTTTGAGCCCAAATTTCAAGTTTCTAAAAACAATTTCAAGAGCAGACACTGGTTTCGTTCTTAATGAGAGAGCTGAGTCTTGTGTACAAGTATGTGATGACAGAGTAGCTGAAGGTGCAGTCATCATGCAGAAAGACCAGCACCCAAAAATTGTACACCAGAATGAGTTAATGGACATCTTAGAAGCAGAAAATCATAAAGTTCAGGTTGCTTACTGTTGTCCAGTGTGTGTCCCTGATGAACCTAAAAACGTAGCTTTGTCGCCAGGAGAAGATATGCATCCTGTGCTTGATAAATGCTCCTTGCTGCATTTATTATACACAAAACTTTCAAATGGTTTTCAAGATGTAACCATTCTGAATGATGGAGACCGTCTCCAGATACAGTCATTCACTGTCTCTCCCTGTCTGAAGGAGAAGTGTCCTCATAGAATACATGTTAATCCTGATAGCACATCTGAAGCAGTAAACTTTTGCTGCACGTGGTCAATGGAAGATGAGAAACTTGCTTGGAGGGTCATCTCAAGCATGAAGAATTTGGAGTTGAAGACTCGTTAAGTTTAACTGCTCGTGCTCATTTAGAATTGAAAAAGATGTGTTCTGATGAGGGTTCGTAGAGGAGACATAATTCAGTTTATTCTGTTATGAAATGTCAAGAATCATCGCATAGTCAATGCTTGATAATTACAGCATCTGGAGTAGTTGACTGTATCAAGTACTATAACATATAGTCCTATCGTGCAGTATTCTTTTGGGATTTATGAGAAGAGGGAACAAGTATCCTAAGAAAAATCAATTGTAGTTTGACTGTATCAAGTGCTAATGTGATGCCTACATTTTTTTGCAATGAAGAAATATTGAGCTCTTTGGGACTATAGCCTGTTTTATGCTCATTACAACACTTAGCTTTGCTAAGTGCTTTTTCTGGTATACAATTTTTATTTCCTTCTTTGGTAAAAGGATGAGATTTTTGTTGGTAGTTGTTGATGCTCCTCATAAACTTTTAGATTTTGATTTTAGTCGAGGCAAAAACATTAGGTAAATTCTTTCGATCTGTCCAAGCATTGGTTGGTTGTGCTTATGGTGACATAGTTGGGTTTTTGTGTTCGTGTGAATTGTGATCTGTTCTTAGATCATGAAATAATGTTATATTCTTTTCAAAAAATACTTAAATATCTGTGTGCATTCACGTTTAAAGTCTCATATAATAAGATGGTTATTGGTACACTTATCTAGATAATGTTACAATAACAGAAAATTCAGTGCATCTCTCTATGTGAGGTTAGGAGTTGAATTATTATTTTGTCTTATTTATTTTTCCTTTTTCTAAAATTGATTACACTTCTTTAAAGTGTTTTGTAGATAAAATTAGGTAAGAAATATAATGTAGAAATTTTAATATTGAATTTTTTATGAATATTTGATTTAATAGATTGAAAATAAAATTTATGATTCATATATTTCATTTATTAGAGGCTTTATAATGTATTCTTATTTGTTAACCACATATTATCGAGAGAAATAAAAAATTGTATCGAAAAAACACCAAATACAATCCCTTTATCTAATTAAATCTTGAATAGATAAAATTTAGAAACATTTAATCTCTATTGTATTTTATACGATAAATGCATATTCATGGTCAAAATTTCATAACAAAATCTAATTCGACTGTGAATTTCACATTTAGATTTGTGAATTTCTATTCAACATTGTTGTATTCATTGTCAACATCCTAATTATACTATCAAATGACGTTTTTTAATCTTCTTAAACAAGAAGATCATATTCAATATTCAATTTGAATAAATTTTATGATTTTAAAAATATCATATAAAAAATATTTTTTTCTTCGAAAAAAAATAAAAAGAAAATTTCGCAAAATCTCCCTTATCCTATTTTGTCTGTCTTTTTATCAGTACAAAGCTGCTACAAAATTGTCAGTAGCCAGACACAGCTCCCCACCCCCACCCCCCACCCCCACCCCCACAGTGACACCAAATTCATCAAAAGTTTCAGCAAAAGCTCAAAAACGTCAGCTAAATCAACGCTTATCGATGAGGTAATTTATAGAGATAATCAAGATTCAGTTTTTGTTGAGCAAAAAGGAGTTGAAAGATTGAATTTTTATCCATATTTTGAACCTTCAAGAAAAAATGGCAACTGAGCCACCAAATTTGATTTCCTCTGACCCCACAACTCCACTTCTACACCGGCGACTCGAAAACGGCGGCAGAGGGGGTCGTCAGTCATCACTTGCGGTACTTCTTGGTCGGGTCACCGGAAGGCGCGGTGGCGGAGGAGGTGGCGCGTCGTTGTTGGTGAGGGAGACGGCGGCGCGTGAGCTGGATGAGCGAAGAGCTGATTGGGGTTATTCGAAGCCGGTGGTGGCGTTGGATATGATGTGGAATTTGGGGTTTGTGATTGTGTCTTTTGTGATTTTGTCATGTGCGGTGGATGAGTCGCCGAATGTTCCGATTAGGCTTTGGATTTGTGGGTATGCTTTGCAGTGTGTGGTGCATGTGGTGCTTGTGTGGTTGGAATATAGGAGGAGGAGTTTGCAAGGAGGAACTGATGTAGAGGGAAATGATGGTGAGGGTGGTGAAGAGAGGAACGGGGTTTTGGGTATTGGTAATCAGTCAAGGTAAGGTTCATTTCTTGTTTGATAAATTTCAGATTTTTCTTTTGTGTAGCATGATGTTGGTAGTGTTACTAATAGTTACATATAAAACAACAACGAACTCACTGCAATTCCACAAGTGGGGTCGGGAGAGACTAGGGAGGATAAGATATATCGTATTACTAGTAGTTACCTATAAAACAATAACAAACTCACTGTAATTCCGCAAATGGGGTCGGGAGAGTAAGATGTATCGTATTACTAATAGTTACATATAATAAAACAACGAACTCACTGTAATTCCGCAAGTGGGGTCGGGAGAGTCTAGGGAGGGTAAGATGTGACGAGCCTTACTCCCTACCGGCAATGTGAACGAGCTCATGCGGGAGGAGTTAGTTTCACTTCTAATACAATAAACCAAGTGTTGTCCAACAAGTAGGCTCTCGGGAGTCTAGGGAGGATAAGATGTATGCAGCCCTACCTTTATGAGGCAGAGTGATTGTTTTTGATTGACCCTTGCTAACTTCCCTCCTTTATCCAAGCTTGGGACTAGCAGTGTGAACGAGTTCACATGGATGGAGTTAGTCTCACTTCTAATATAGCTAAGTTAAATTACGTTTAAGCTCGTCGCTCATGAGACGGTACTATGTTTGGAAGGCTATAAAGGGACTATATAGACCTAAAATCACATGAGGGGAGGTTTTCTCTTAAAAGAACTAAGGCTCTTGAAATTCATCTGAACTTATGAACATAGTGGAAACGAATGGATTGGAAGAATTGATTTAAATAGTTGGTTTAAGGATATATTGGTATAATGTATAAAACATGAAATGATGAAGGAAGTGGTGGATTCTCCATTCTTGTTAAGCCATATTGTTGGTATCAAACGAATATTGTACTTTCATGGAATGCACGTGCTTTAAGCCTCTTCCGTCAATCTTCTAAGTACCTTTAGCCTCAAAATGGCTAATGGTGACGGCCACGCTAGCATATGATAAAGTTAGCAAAATGCTCAGCAACTCCTTAAAAGTACTTTACAAAATTTTGTAATTGCAAAACTAGACGACGAGTACAATTCCATCTCTTGCTTAGGCTCCAATAACCATTGAAATCTTCATCTTCTCTACAATTCCATCTCTTGCTTAGGCTCCAATAACCATTGAAATCTTCATCTTCTCTTCTGATCACTGATATGATCTTCTCCTTCTCTTAAAGGAACTATTTGAACTTCAGATGATGAGTTTACAAAAGAAACCTAATGCCAGTGCTCTCTGTAAGAGGCTACTATCTTGGCATTTTCTTCCTCTTTCCCCTACAAATATTTTGTAATCCATTTTGAAGACTTGCATGTTTACTCTCTCTAATTTTTCTATCATAGTACTTGAGATGTACTCGATAAGTTTGCTTTGTATGTAGTGTTTATGTACATAGAAATAAGTACTAAATTTGAACCAAAGGAAAAGTTTTGATTGATCAAATGACCTATGGTAATTAATTGTGTTTTAGAAGCTGAAATCTTGATAACTGCTATATACTTCAAAGGCAGGAACAAGTTTACTTAACAGAATGGCTAGACGGAATATTTTAAAGCTTATATGTTTCACATTGATTCAAAGGCAATTAACTTTGTTAAGACTTTGTATGAGAGGGATTTATGGTTAGTATGAGAAATATAAGAAAAGAATACTATTGAATTGTTGTTGTTTACATTATTACATTGAGACCCTATTTATAGACACTAGAATACAATCCTTTACCAAGTAGGATACTATTTACTATTCCTATTCTAAATAGGATTTTATAAACCTATTCCTATTCTAATAGGATTGTGTAATCCTATTCCTATTCTAATAAGATTGTATAAACCTATTCCTATTCTAAACAATTAGATTTTGAGAGGGCATTGATTAGTGATTACAAGGCTGCCTGCCGTAGTGTACTTGTATGCCTCACCAACTGCTATATATTGGAAGACATGCACACTTTTTATATTCAACCTAGTAAATGGAACTTAATGAGATAATATCGACTGGATCTCATGGATTTTGTTTGACCCATATAGGCATTGAAAGATCCGTATATCAGAGAAGGATAATATTCTTCCAAGAAAAGGAGCAAAAGAGAGCCCAAACTTATGGAATTTTTTTATAGATTTCTTTATAGGTTTAGGAGATGAAAAATTTACTGAGAATAATGTATCTTTGCTCTGTTATTGGTTAGAGTTCATGGTAGTATCATGTCAGTGATTCTTACCGTTTGGATCAAGTTAATCTAAGTAAAAGTAGTGTTGCAGGTCTTCATTCCATGCTGCTAAGCAATTTTTCTTATCTTCTGCATGACCTTTTGATATTCAATGGATAAGATACACACACATACATATAAACTGTAGAGCATATACAAATATGAATGTATGTATTTATGTATAAGAAGCTTTTATGTAATTCATTTGACAGACAAAATTTATATAACCCGGAATTTGTGCCGCCAAAGAAGCAGATGAAACTTCAAGTGACCTATCTGTGCTAAGTAAATTTTAAATTTTCTTTCTCATTAAAAAGACATGTGGCAGTTGAGTAACAAATCAGGCTTGACACTGTAAAGATATACCATTTTCTGGAATTAAATCAATATAACATTGTTTCAGACGCTTATTCTAAGAAGAAACTGTTATTCAATTTGATTGGTTGTAAGTTTTTGTACTTGTAAAGGACAGATGAGAAATCACCTAGTGTTTTTGTCTCTATTGGGATTTGAACCAGAGATCTCATGGTTTTCAACCTACTTCATTGACCACGAGGCCACACTTCTTGGAACTAGAAAGTACGACACAAATTATTACTGATTCAGAAGTATAATGTTATCTTCTTTCTAGAATGTTACGAATACAAAACGAATGAGGTTTAGTAGGGGAAGTTCTATGACATCTTATTATGAAATCTTTCCAGGAATTTTACTTTTAAGGCATTCAAACTATTCTTTTGCAGATATTCCAACTTATACTCAATAGTGTATCCAAATTTAATTTTATTGATCTGTGTGCATGAGATATGATATACACCTGATCCACCTATTCATAACTTATGCATTACAGCTAACATCACCTTGTAGGTTTCTGACCATCTTTTACAGTATGATTGATCTGCTATACACCTATACGTAGTAGTAGATTATTACTGAGTTAGAATTGATATTTATTACTTTGCAAGAATAAACTACTGCTTAAAGAAGCGTGGAAATTATGTCATTCAACTTGGCTATGTTATTAGCACCTTTTAATTCTCTGGATAAACAAATAGATACATGTATTCTCATCATTTGACCGACAGTTTTAAATGTCTTTTGAGCATTGAAAAAAATATGTTTTCTTTTTTCTTGGTTAATGCTTGCGCTATAGAGGTGACAAATTTAATTTATTGACTCCTTTCCATTTTGAACATTGCAGTTTTGCTAAACGATGTGAATATATGAATACAATGGGGTCACTTCTTTGGTGGATAATTGGCTTTTACTGGATAGTCTCTGGTGGTGAAATTCTTTTACAGAATGCTCCACATTTATACTGGTATGTCAAGATCTACTATCACTTCAAGCCTTTGAGTTATAATTTGTGTTAAAAGTAGTCTTACATTATAAAACTTTTATGTTTAGTTGATAGTCCTCTATGAGACTTGTATTTGTTATCTCTACTATTTTCAAATTTTGATTACAAAAATGACGATCCCCTTTAGGAATTCTCCCCTACATTTGTAGGAGTAGTCATTTTAGGACAGCTCAAAAATGTAATATTGGTCATAGCAATGATGGCATAACCTGTTACATATAGGCTCTAATTGAGTTTTTCTTAATTTCAAATTCCTTTAAACATACTAGTAATACTTGTACAGCTCAAAACAATTCCTTTAAATATACTAGTAGTACTTGCATAGCTCAAATAGACAACAGTTCTAAATCTTTATGATATATTTGTCTAAATGCAACTCTGATCTTTTCACATTTAAGGAAATGGTAGTAGTGGAAAAGATGTTATTGTTTTAGTTCATGAATTGGCCTTTTTCATTATTGTTGTTAATAACAATATAGAAGGACCAAAGATTGAAAAATAGAATTCGTTTTTTAATCTAGTTATCTAGAATTTTATATGTCCCTTAAAAGATTAAATTACTAGATTTGTTTGGTTCAGCTGCCTTTCATGTTTATGTTGCGGTCTAGCTGAATTTTGCTTAGATCTACTATCTCATTACATCTCAGAGATAGATAGAGAGGTAGGAATTTCTCGAACGAACCACACTTCTTTGTATACGTCCGTATATAAGTTGTCATCTCAAGAGAAGTTGTGGATTATTATTATCTACGCTCTCCCTTTAGAATATTGTTTCTGTTGTTTCCTTTTCTTTTCTTAAATGTTCGTGATCACCAGACAGTCATGTTTGATCACTGATGTAAAGTGATGCAGGTTGGCAGTTGTATTTCTGGCATTCGATGTATTCTTTGCCATCTTTTGTGTTGCTTTGGCATGTCTGATAGGAGTTGCTCTCTGTTGCTGCTTGCCTTGCATAATTGCAGTACTCTATGCAGTGGGTCAGGTAAGAGACACACACTATAAATAATTACAGGCCAGCTACTTGATATGTTTCTGGTATGATCTCTTGCCTGTAATATATAGGAAGGTGCGTCCGAGGAAGATCTCAGAGTTCTCCCCAAGTATAGATTCCATATTTGCAAGAATGAGGAGAAACCAAGGGTAGGTGCTGGTAGGATGGTACCAATTGAGACAAGCAGCGGATACCTGGCCACTGAGCGTATTCTTTTACCTGAAGATGCAGTAAGTTAATTTTTGCGTGTCTAAAAATGCTTAAAGCCAATTATCATTTTCTTTCTCCTTTATTTTGATCCCAATAGTCTGTCTATATTGGAATAAAACTGTTTCATCGTATGCATATTCCACAACCTTACTTTGGTGTTAACATTTAACTCTACGGTACTGCAATGGTGCTAAGTGAACTTTATTTATTCACTGTTTCAGTTAGAATCCGCATTATGTGACACATGCTGAATAGTGATAGATTTAGTAGTATTTCTGAATTATTATTTGTGATAAAATAGTTACCAATATCTCAACTTTTGTTTGCTAGGAATGTTGCATATGTCTTACCTCGTACGAGGATGGGGCAGAACTCCATGCTCTCCCCTGTAATCATCATTTTCACTCCACCTGCATCGTGAAATGGCTTAAAATGAACGCTACATGTCCACTATGCAAGTACAACATCCTGAAGGGAAATGATCAGGTTTAAAGCAGGGAGAATGAAAAACATTGTACATTGTTTCGGGTTATTAAAGCCACTTATGGAAGCTTGAAACACTACTTGCTAAATCCATATCAGAACAGAAATCTGCTTTCCAACTAGTCAAGCTTCCTCTCATGTTCGCTTAGCATATTGAGATCTTCTCTGTAGTGAATCGTCTTCTGTGATTAAAAAAAATGTAGCACCCCGCGAAGAATTAAAAACGAAGAAGAGTTGGTCCTTCCCCCCAGCTCATGTAAATTATCTTTGGTTCCATTTGTTTCCAATAGGTATACAGGATCCAACTCTTGTAAGTATATGCTATTTTCTTGTGTGTGGTTTATGTCCAGTTTTACTGTGCTCTTTTCTCTAAGAAAACAGAAAAGTGGGTGATAATTTGATATCTAAGTTTTACTCAATTTGTTAATTATGAGCTTTGCAATTTTGTTGTTGTTATTTTGGTTTTAGCTTGTTTTGATGATGCATCGTGGTTCGGCTATTGATATAGCATTTCCCTCCTCAGATCCCACTTGCGGGATTATATTCGGTATGTTTGTTATTTTTTGTTGGGCTCTAAGGCAAGAGTTATTTATACAAAGGAAATACTGATATTATGGAACTGTTGTAATTTTGTGAAGCATCTCTAAAAAAATATTACACCGACAAAGAAATTGGATTAACTTTTGACTTATGATTTATAAGTTAAAAGACATAGATTAGGTTTATTAACTTGTGACTTTTGACTTATTTTTGTTGTTTTGGTTTTAAAATAAGTGTCTATAAGCACTTTTTAACTTTGTCGAAATATTTCAAAACTGTTTAAAAATTGTTTTGGCTTTAAAACACCTAAAATAAGTCGATCCAAATGGACACTAACAATGTCAATTGGATTTCTTTAGAAAATTATATTACACTATTTCTTTTTTATGAAATCAGATATAATAATATTTTTTCATTAATCGGTTGATGCCTTATATAAAAAAAAGAAAGTATTAAGTACAATTTCTGATGAGGTTATATTTTGAATATATTTCAAAAATAAAAGTATCATTGAGAAGAACCAGAGTAACATATGTGTTGTGCTTTATTTTCGTTATTATAATATTTATTTATTTACATTTTAAAAATTTGACATTATTTATTAAAGACATTTTATGTTGGTACAATAAAATCATCTTAATTTGATTTTATGTTTGCTTGATATCATTGTAGATTTAGCCGATTTCATATAAATATTAACTACTGGTTGACGATAAATTTTAAATTGATTTAATTTTTTAATATTAGTAATATTATTTATGAATATTTTAATTATATATGATGATAATAAATTGTTTAAATTGCGAAATGAGAAAAACATGATTCAACTTATTTGAAATTGGAAATGATAATTATGTGTTATATTTCATTATTAAAATAAATAAAGTATAGACATTTGAATTATCTAAATTTATGTATGAACTTTACGCTAGTTAACTTCTATATGACCAATAAATACTATCTTAATAACTAATTTTTTTAAAAAAAATGTATATATGAAAATAAAAGATCTCTCTTCAAGTTTAATATATTAATATTTGAGTTAGATATTATATTAGTGAGTCATAAAAAATTACAACAATGATTTAATAAAAGTTAGCTAGATAAACAAACAAGTACTATCATATATAATTAATATTTTTTAGATAATTTAATAAATCGATTTTATAAATTTTTTGGAAGTGGTATAATGAGAACACGCATGGGCATTTATTTATTTTTTTCTGGTAAAAGATAACCATTTTATTTTTATTTTTTTGGTCAAAATTATTAATTTATCAATATTGTTAATTTATCTGTGGAGTATGAATAAGTTTGAAATAAGAAAAAAATAAAAAAAGATATCACGAAAAAGAAGACTTTTCGTATAATATTTTTTTCACCAAACAACACTCTCTGCAAAGCAAAATAAATAATAATAAAATTACAATAAAATAAATAAATAAAAAAATTTCAATCTTCCCTCTCGAGTCAATTTTGGTTTTAGGCCAAAATTTTTCTTCAATTTTTTAGATCTGTTTTACTTCAAATTTTTCAGTGTTTACAGTCATATAGTTGTTTGAGTTTTTTCTTGTGTGTGTGTTTATGCACAAAAACGGTTTAGATTGATGTTTGTGTTGAAGCTTAGGGAAGATCAAATTTGATTACAAAATTGGGCGAAAAAGTGGGAATTTGTTTCATACAATTTAGGGTGTTTGAATTCTTGTTATGACTACTGCGGAAGCGTTATCTGTGATTCCAGCAGCTGTTCTTCGTAATTTATCGGATAAGCTGTACGAGAAGCGCAAGAATGCTGCTTTAGAGGTTTGTTTTAATGGGGTTTTGATGAATTTTTGTTTTTCGTCTTCATTTTTTGTGATTTGGGTTTGTTTTGGTTTTTCCAAAGCTGTGCTTTTTCACCTCCTGTTTTTGGGATTTGGGTTTTTTCAAAGTTGATATATTGATGCTTATTGATTTTGTGTAGTTGGAAGGGATTGTTAAGCATTTGACATCTGCGGGTGACCATGACAAGATCACTGCTGTTATCAGTTTGTTGTCTCAGGAGTATACTTACTCACCTCAGGCTCATAACCGGAAAGTGAGTTTGAATTTTACTCTTTTGGAGTGGTAGGCTTTGGTATATTGGGAAATGATATCCATTATATTGTGGAAAAATGATTTCTAGTGAAAAAATAATTTCTTGGTGTTTCTCGTATGGATGTGGAAGTATTTTCTTTTCAAATATCATAATTCTTACTTATATAACTTGATCAACGACATGTTTGTCAACCATTAGTAATACTGAATATCAGCAAACACTTTTTTTTTGGTACCAACTTTATACCAAACCACACACAGGCAACTTTTTTCCAGAAAGCATTCTTCTCTAACAAACACACACCTGAGCTGCAGGGAGGATTGATAGGACTGGCTGCAGTAACTGTTGGTTTGACTTCAGATGCAGCACAACACCTTAAGGTAGGGTGTTTACCTCGTGATCAACTTTGTTTCCTATCAGTTCTCAATTTTGTGGAAATGCTCTATAAATTTCTTGTTTAGCTGTGAGAAAGGGTGAGGTTATGCCCCAAGGCTTTGGTCTAGTGGTAAGAGCACAACGCGTGATGTCGAGTTAGGCACACATAATGGGTAGATGGTCCATTATCCAACAAATTTTTGATTGTGTGCCATTGGCACTCGAGAGTTTCTCGATTATCAAAGAATAAAACTGAGGGTGAGATTATATGTGCCTAGATCTGAATTTTAGGTTGGTGTTTTCAGAGAACATCATCTGCTGTTAGTAATTACTAGTAATAGATAAACCTTTGGACGAGAAGAGAGATAAAATAAAACTGAGAACATGCATGTTGAAGCTTTACTAAGGTGAATATAGGGTCAGGTATCTTTAGCCTTAGTTTCAATTAGTTTTCCTTGATTGTAAGTTAGAGTACAGAGCAAGTATTTGGGAGAATGATATAGATGTGAGTTAGTGTGTGTATTACTTTGTCCATACGGGTAATTGACTGGATATCAGTGTTTGGATTATCATAGACTTGCTCCTCAAAGAAAAAGCAAATGGCATAAAGATGTAGGTTTGTCCACCATCTTATTACTCATATCTTTCTTTCACAGGGGTAATCCTGTTTATTAGTTTTGAACAAAAGGGGAAGTTTCACTGTTTTCTTTTCATTCTCTACCTTTTATAAATTATGTTCCTATAAAGAAATCCTGTTTATTTGTTTTGTTCTAGAAATCTTCATCTCTTTACAATCGTAGTGCATTTATTCCGTGAATAGAGAACTAAGATTTTGTGCCTACTGTTGTTCTTACACTACTTCAGTGCCTGGACTAGGAAAGGCTTTAGTTTTAAGTCTTTTAAAGATAATAGAACTCCAACCCCGTTCCCGTGAGAGAGTGTATTCATTTTACTTTAGGGTTTAACCTTTTACACTTCACAATTTACTTTTTGTTTCAAATACTTCTTCCTTGACATCATATGTAGCTTTTACCTTTACTTATCCAGAGAACAAGTAGCTTTATATATGGTTCCCTTGAAAAGATTACTGATGTTGTTTCTGTGGCTGTTATTGTTATTTTGGGATGTTGCATTGAGGATTGTGCTATTTTCCCCATTATGCAACTTACCTCTCATCTGGATTTGATGTCCAGCAAATTGTCCCGCCAGTCTTACACTCTTTTTCGCACCAAGACAGCAGAGTTCGTTATTATGCCTGTGAAGCTTTGTATAACATCGCAAAGGTGAGAAAGTTAACGGAGCCTGTACAACACATGTATTTTTGATTCTTGTTGTCCGGATTTCATTTTTTCTACTTTGCAGGTTGTAAGAGGAGATTTCATCGTATTCTTCAATCAGATCTTTGATGCTTTGTGTAAGCTTGCGGCAGATTCAGATGCCAACGTGCAAAGTGCTGCTCATCTTTTAGATAGACTGGTGAAGGTAACACATCACTTCATTTGAAGGCATTGGTCAGAGAGGGAAGAGTATGCAAACATTTTAAAAAATGATGTGTTGTTTAGATGATAATGAATTCCAGTTCGATACACTACAAGGAGGAGGATAGGAGGTGTTGCAGAGGAAAGGAGAGTCTAAAGATGAGGCTTGAGTATTTTTTTCATTGAGGAGTTCAAAATGGTGTAAATTTGCTAATTTTGGGTAGAAAAGTTGGGCGTCCTTTTCTGTTATTTCCTTTCCCCAATTCTTTTTACCGCCAGTGCTTTATGGAGAGCGGGGCAAATGAGTTGCTTTAATCAAAAGATATGCACAGTTTTGGTATTTTGACTTATAACATTGTGCTTAAACTTTTGTTGGATGCAGGATATCGTCACAGAGAGTGAGCAATTCAGGTGAGTTTGGGTTGTTGGAAACCAGGATCTTCATGATGGAACCGAAGTTTGATTTTTCCACTGAATTGGACATTTTGTTTCTTACACAGCATTGAAGAATTTATTCCTTTGCTAAGAGAACGAATGAATGTCCTCAATCCTCATGTCCGCCAATTTCTTGTTGGGTGGATCACAGTTTTAGACAGTGTTCCGGATATTGATATGCTCGGTTTTCTTCCTGATTTTCTTGATGGTAATTTCTTGTTTTTCAAAGTCAAAACCTTCTTATCACGCAACTCAATGTTCTAAATTTGTTAACTCATGTGATTTCTCTTGACTTGATGAAGTGCAGGATTATTTAATATGCTGAGTGATTCTAGCCATGAAATACGGCAACAGGCTGATTCTGCGCTTTCAGAGTTTTTGCAAGAGATTAAGAATTCTCCAGTAAGATCTCTGTCATGTGTGGTGTGTTATATTTTTTAATGCTCCCAAAGGAAAATAAAATTTTGAACTTGCAACTTTTTTCCTCTGCTAGTATATTGAGAGTTGAGGCTCGGATGAAAGATATCTGAATATATG